TTGATCGGAAGATTTTTATGTGAGTTCATAAGTTAAGAATCAATTCTCCATATGGAAGATGAATGAAGTGAGATCCAAATGAAGAACTTCTTCTTTGATAAGAACCAAGTTTTTGTCAGATTTGATAAAAAAAATTAACAAAAAGAGAGAAAGAGAGAAATATGAGATAGGTCAAGAATCCAACTAACATTAAAGTAAAAAATAATAAGAGTTCTCTCTGAAGGATTTTCTTTCACACAAATGAACTTTTCTTTCTCTTTTAGTTTCTACAAAAACATTTCTTTTTCTCTTGTTTCCCAATAAAACCTCTAATACTAAATCTGTTTATTCTTTTCTTTAGTATTTTATTTCCATAGTTTTCTCTTCTCAACAGAAAAAGGAAACCCATGTACATATGCTCATTTTGAGATCGATTGATGAGTACAAGAACTCTTTGTCTCCTATTTTATTTATTGAGTGAAGAATTAAAGAAGCGTACTTTTTGTCTTGCCCTAAGCATTTTGGAAAAGCATAACACTACCATTGGAACAAAGTCTTAATCTTTTTTATAATAATAGAAATAACCCTACAGTTGTATTACCGAGGCTAATTAGTTTAAATTATTCAACAGAGGTGGGTGAGTCAACATTAGGTACCAGAGTCACATGATTCTGATTTTATTGTTTAAGCATACAAAATCATTAAGGACCTACATCACCCCCAAAAGTGGACTTCCTTTTGGGATATTAAGAACCAAGATTCTTGATTTCACAATTAACAACAGGAAACTTGACAACATTCTCAAAACCTTGGGATTTGCACTTTTTTAAAATAATTTTATCAAGTATATTTTATTAGAGTCAATTTTATTTAAATTGAGTATAATCATTTTGAGAAGTTAAATTTTCTTATAAACATTTAACATAACTACATATTCAAAATTTAAATTAAGATTATTAGTTAAACTGAAACAATCTTATATCAATCAATTCATGTGTTCAATAGTTATTTGTCCATATTTAATTGTAAATTTTATAATATACTTTAGATTTTCAATTTTTATGACCCAATCATAAATAGACACGATCTAACTAAAAATAATTTTATTTGAATTGGAAAAGATTATTATAAATGATAAACCTATTATTAAAAATAATCTTATTTAAATTGAATAAAATTATTATTTCAACCTGTATGAAGATTTTGTTGATATATAATAATTTGTAAATATCTTTATAAAATTTCATTAAGTCTTGAGACCTATTATAATTATAATAGATTTCAAGACTCAATTCACCTAAATCTTTTATAAAAATAGTGATATAATATCTTCTCAAAGTATTTATCAGAATTGTATATATATAACTCAAATTTAAAAATATGAGTTAAGTTAATCCACATGCTTAAAAGTAGTCTACATGTATTTAATTGCAAATTTGCAATATACTTTAGGCTTCAAACTTTTAGGGCTGATCATAAATAGGGTTACCATTAGAGAAGCAACAGAAATTGGGGCAGTTCACAATCCCCAAAACCAAAACCTTAATAAGAGTCAACAAAGTCGGTGAAGTTGAAGAGAGGAATGGTACTAACAAGATCCCCATTGCATTTAGGGTTGTGGACCCAACATTGCTATCTCCGACCTCAAAAGTCAGCAACTTCGGCAACACTTTGTTTCTGATTTGGAAAACAACATTCACACGTTTTGGCAGCCTAGTAAGACTTGGACTGCCTCCACATGATCATGCATTACTAAATACAAAATTCCTTTGCTCAAGGCCTTGACGTGAGTCAATGCTTTTTCATCCAATATTCGTCATTTAATGTACCCTTTCGTACACCCTATCTTGCTAATGTAGCATCCTAATCTACCCAATTTATCAACCTTTTCTCACCCACCACCTTGTAATCATATCTTGTAAAATAGACCCCTTAAGTTCACGTCCACACTAGGATTCTAGAGGTAAATTATTTTTGGACTTTGCAATACTACCAATTTAGTTATATCATTAAAATCATTTTTTTTAATAAAGACATATATTCTTTCCCCTATATTAATTCTTATATAAATAAAATGGTATTTCCAATAATTATTATAAAAATAAAATGATATTTTTAATTATGACTTCATATTTAAAATAAAAGTTGAACTTTAATTCTTGATTAGGAACAACTAACGAATTTTGATATTAAAATCATATTATGTTATTGAATTTAGGATTATGATGGTAATTATTAAAGGATAAAATATTTTAGTTCCTCATGTCTTGGTTAAAATTAATTTTTATTTTTTATATTTTTTAAAATATTGAATTTGGTCATTGTATTTTCTCAAATGTAGAAAAATATGAGACTTGAATATGATTTTAGTCTTTGTAAAATGAGCTAATTTTAATTTTAGTTCGTATAAAAAAACTATTATTTTTATTTTTTAGAATTTAAAAATGTTGGTTTTAATTTGTATTATTAAAAAATTATTTTATTATTTATTTATTGAAATGTTAAATGATCATTTTATGTGTTGTCTATAATTATTAGTGATATCATATTAGCTATGACATATTTAAAAAAATTATAAATCTTTAAAATAAATATTATTTATTTATTTTAAAATTATTGTTACAGATAAAAAAAAAATAATTTTACATTTTAAAAGGATGAAAATAAGAGGTTATTTTATAAGGACTAAAATTAAAATTTACTAATATAATAAAGATCAAAAGTATTTTAAAAAAATAAAAATAATGTTTATAAACTTTTGAAAGGTGAATACAATTTTTTTTCATAAACCAAAATTAGTTTTTTAAAAACTAGAATTATATTTAACCTAATATGCGAAAAAAGGACAAAATTTATCATTTAAGGAAAAAACACTACGATGAAAATCACTATTTTTAAAAGAGGAAATTTGTACTATTTAACATAATCAATATCTATCATATTATATTAAGTTTTGTTCATTTTTAAAATGTAGTATTATTTAACTTATTCTATGTAAAATGGGGTTAAACAACTCCATAGTAAATGATAGATACAATTTTATTATCTATTTCAAGACGGTTAGTTATAGATATTAGTTGCATTAATAATTTAAGATGGAGTTTTTACATTCATTTTTACTTGGACTAAACTGAATAACTTTTTAAAGAAACACTATAGTGAACCTAATCGAGAAATTAGATTATATATCCATTGCCATTGTAATATTTCGTTTTGGTTAAAAAAAAAACCCTTAAAATGTAGTAACTAAAACTACTCTTGATCAAAATCTCGAAGTAGCTAAAAACAAAATTTAGCCATTACTAAACCAATTTTCTATCACCATTAAGTACTAGTGCCGACTTTAAAGACTTTTAAAGTTAAAAGTTCCGATTTTTAATCCAAAGAAACTTCACCCCACGTTCCCCTCTTTGCAACCACCTATATCATCACTCTCTCTCTAGTTGTCAACCATTACACTTCTCACCATCTCAACCACATTGCATTTTTCTGACTCCTAGTAACACTTTCCAAACTCATTCACTCATGGCCAAGCCTCAAAAACCAAAACCAAGTTGTTTCCCTGGCCTCCTACGTGTTCTTCTATGTGCTGGAAATGCAACTAGTCCTCCAGTTCACCCTTCAGATCACATCACGGAGTCAGAAGAATCACAAAATGCACACTCCACAAAAGAAAAAATGGTTGAAAATGCTCATGCTTCTACCCCTGGTGTGGTGGCAAGGCTTATGGGGCTAGATTCACTTCCAAACCCCAAATGGGCAGTGAAAGTTGGCACCCCAGATTGTTTTCCAAGAAGCAGGTCAGTGAACTTTGTTGATTACTTGCTTGAGTTTGATCCAAGCCATGCCAACCATCGTAGAGTGAAGACCTCAGCATCGTTCAGAGAGGTTCCTAGTTTGCTTATGAGGCCAAAGGGTGATGAAAAATTTGTGCTTTGCATGGATGGTGATAGTAGTAACATGAGTAAAGACCAACACCAACATGAGGTGAAGAAATTGGAGAAGGGTTTGGGAGAGTTGAGGCAGAGGAAGAGGAACAAGGAGATTGTGATTGTGGGTAGTGTGAAGAAAGAAAGGAATCAAGGGAAGAGTAAGAAGATTTCCAAGCTGAAGAATGAACCAAGAAGGGTTCCTTCAAAAAAACATGGTTCAAAGAGTCAGAAACCAAAACAATATCATGGTGAAGCTAGAGATTTGTCTTCTGTTTCCTCAAATTCTTCTAAGTGTGGTTCATGTAGTAATAGACGTAGTGGTGCTAGTTCAAGATCGAGGTTAAGCACTTCTTTGCCAAGTAAGCACAAGAAGGGGTTTGTGGAAGCAAAAGTGAAGAAGAACATGAGGAACCAAAATTCAATGTTGAAGTTAGAAAGTGAATGCAGGTTGGAAAATCACAGTCAAATTTCAGTTCAAGATAGCAATGACTATCCTTTCCTTTATGGACCTGATTTTCTCGGTTTGTTTTCTCAACTCAATCCCTTGTTATTATTTATTTTAAGATTATTTGTTTGGTAATTATTGAATTAAAATTGAATATTTGTTTCAATGACATTTTCACTTCTCTGTTATCTACTCTTGCTCCTTAATGAAGCAAAGGATCTAAATCATATAATGAGTTGCTTGGCCTGACTAAATAGTTTATTTTATTTTGGTTTCTTAATTTTATAAATAATGATAAAATTATCACCTTGTGTTCTATTTTAAAAAAGAACAATATTTAAATATAATTTCATATGTTCTTTTGATGCCTTTTTAATCAGAAGTAGATCATTTTGCTAATTTACATGTATGAACTGCATTTTCTTTAAAAAATAAAACATCATTTCGTTTAGTATTGCACAACAAAAGGTTCTAAAGCTACAATATGCATTCTTCGCATGCTGTTGTAGTTTGAATTTAATTTCAACTTTACCTTATTATATGATTTTTGTTGCAGATGGTACAAGCACCCTAGCTTCAAAGTTAAAGTGGGAATCTCCATCACTATTGTCCTTGAATGATGGTGTTGAAGACAGTGCAAGTACTACAAATAAAGGTTACTCCTTCATTGATGTCAACAAGGATGCAGAGTATTACTTTGAACTGATGTTGAAGCTTCGTACTTTAACAGAACAGGATATAACAGAGTTAAACTGTACCTCAAAACATATACGTGAGAGTGAAAGCTTTGAAGATATTTGTTTGATGTTTGAGCATAAAATTTTCGACCTTTTGTTGTATGAGGTTGTCAATGAAGTTTTAGAACTTTATTGTTGAGAATTTTTTAATCTTGGTTGTAAAGTATAATTATATATTTTGTGATGATTTTGCTAATGAATGCTTCGAGTTGCTACATGAAAAATAGAACTAACTTTCAAGTATGGAATGGAGGATGTTATTTACTACAAGAAGAAAGACAATTCATAATCTTTAGATTTTGTTCGTTTTGTTGGGTCTTGTCTTGATCAGTGATCGCATATTTTTTTTCTTGGTCATATTTTCACATGGAGTAAACTCTCGACGAAATCTTAGAATGACTAGTTACTTTAATACCAGTTTGGATTGCGGGTTTTCAGTTCTTTAAATTTTAAATACAAAATTCAAAATAAACAATGTTGAACAAAATTAATTTTTAAACTTTTTACCTCAACTTTTAAAACTATAAAAATACCTTTTTTAGTTAAAAAAAATAATTCAACTCTAACATCTTCTGAGAAAATACAGATAATTATTAACAGTTTATTTATTATTATTATTATTATTATTATTATTATTATTATTATTATTATTATTATTATTATTATTATTATTATTATTATTATTATTACCACGTCTGTCACAATCATCACCAGTAATTATCACTACATTCATCATAGTTATCATCGTGGATACTATAACCGTCATTAGCTTATGCTTCCATTTTTACTGCCAAAACATCATAACCGTTCTCACTTTCATCATCACTACCTTCCCCTCTCCTAGCCTGTCAATCAACACTTTAATTTAAATTAATAATAAAAATAAATAATAAAAAATCAAATAACTTTTATTAAATAAATGAAGTTTAATTCTTTATTATCTTGTTATTTATGTTTCAATCAACTTTGTGCACCCATAAATGTCTTTAGAGTAAATTTATGAAGCCTAGAATAATGTGGACTTAAAAATTTACTTCATGTGCTAAATGCAGATTTTGAAGCTGTAGGCTAAATGACGTTTATAGTGTAGTTTTACAAACAAAATACCAAAATGGGACTGTTTTGAAACATTTTACACCTTTGGGGCTCTTTTACTCCATAACGACACCCATGACATGTGGCTTTTTTGGGTTTGAATATAAAAAAGAAAAAAACAAACGAAATTTTAAAAAATATAAACTTAAAAAATGAACTAATATAATGAGAAATAAATTTAAAAACGAAAAAAAAATTTAATAAATTGAGGCGCTATGGCCTACGGCGCCTTTAAGGCGTTAGGGCTCATAGCGCCTCACATGGCGTTTTTTTAAAGTATATAATATTTTGTAAATATAAAATATGAAAAAAATTTTTTAAAAAATGTCTGATAAAAAAGCAAAAAAGAATTGAAATTTTTCAAAATTTTAATTTTTAAAAAGAGGTAATATAATGTGAAATAAAATTAAAAAGGGAAAAAATATATATATAAATTGGGGGCGCTATGACCCAGGGCGCCTCGGAGGCGCTAGGGCTCATAGCGCCTCCTCTGGCGCGTCATAAATTGACCGCAGGTTTGACCAATCACATAGTGACACGTGGCCATGGGACACATACATTTCACATGTCATTCGGAGAGTGCACAATTACTCTTCAAGACACATACATTTCACCAGAGACAAATTTGTTGTCATGTGACCGTATCTCCGACCATCTGCAAGAAGACTTCTCAATCTTATTTGACGCATGCAACACAATCTTTCTTTCACCTCTCAGATCTACACCAGCATTTTCAAAAATTTTGGATAACAACAAAGCATAAGGAATCGGACCGTCTTCCTTCCGTCTTGCTTTCCATATGCAGTCATTCACAACCGATACCCAATCGATTTTAATTTTCTTCTTGATGACGTGCATTAACAAAATGTCGTCCCGTGACATTTGAGCATGGTTGTGCAACCTAGGTTTCAACATCCAGGCAATTATAAAGGAAATTAAGCGAGAGTTCTTTTTCATACCTCCCACCAAGAATTTCTCATCGTTGGTGTTTGACGGGTTCCGTTGACAATCCCGGAATGTGGTCAGCTCTTCAAAATCCCCAAAATTGAATGGCTGGGGTTTCTCTGCTCCAGTCCCGCTCAGACCTGCAGCGGCCTCCAAAGTTGATCCGTCTAACTTGATCAGCTTACCCTTCACCACCGATTGCATAACACCTTCATTGGTTGTGGCAAAGCAGAGGAATAATTGAATCAGCTCCGGGTAATAGGGACCTTCCATCTCCAAGAATTTCTTCAGTCCCTGATACTCCAAAAGGGTTGGAAAGCTAAAACCCTTGTTCTTGAACCACTCAAGCTTCAGGGTCTTCGGAGGAATGATTCTCCGACCAGCGTACCATTCAAAGTAGTATTCTTGAGCTTTTTCATCCGCGAACCATCTTGAAATCAGTTGCTCTGAGGGAAGAGGGTGCTTGCTCCCCATCACTTCAAGCTTCTTGGGCCTTTTGGAAGAAGATGCCATGGATGGGTCTTTGAGAAAAGTGAAGAAGAAGAGAGATTTGGGAGGATTTGAGAGGGTTAGGGTTTTGAGGGTTTGGGAGAAAATGAGAGAATGAGAGAATGAGAGAATGAGAGTGTTTTTGATGCCCTAGCACGTTCTGGGTATAAAGGTAATGGGTAGTTTTAAGGGTTGGCGCGTAAATAACCGTTTCAGGAAATTTTAAAAGAAAACCCAGATAATCGATTATTTATACAAATAATCAATTATTTGTATCAGAAAAATCACTTAAAAACGCATTCTGATATGGATAATCGATTATTTTAAGGATAATCGATTATTATAGAAGGTAGTTTTTCCTTATACTCCCCAGATAATCGATTATTTACAGAATAATCGATTATTCCAGTGACTTCTCAAATTCCAATTCTCAGATAATCGATTATTACCCAGGATAATCGATTATTACAGTGACTTTTAAGTTTCTTCTTACCAGATAATAGATTATTTCCCAAATAATCGATTATTACAGTGACTTTTGAGTTTCTTCTTGCCAGATAATCGATTATTTCCCAAATAATCGATTATTTCAGAAACTCTTGGAATTCTTCATGTTCCAGATAATCGATTATTTCCCAAGATAATCGATTATTTCCATGAATCACTTAAGATAATCGATTATATCTTAAGATAATCGATTATTCCAGTGAAGATTTGCTTCTCTGAAAATTTTAACTTCTCAAATTCACCAAGTCTTATTTTGTCACTTTCAAATATAACCTTTCACACATCTCTTACCTCCATTCTCACAGCATAATCAATTCAAACTTGATTCATTGATTATTCCCAACTCAATTCTCAATTGGTTGAATCTTTCCCTTGGTAGAGGTTTTGTAAAAATATCAGCTAGTTGTTTACTTGTCTCTACAAACTCCACAACATAATCATTCCTTTGAACATGATCTCTTAAAAAGTGGTGTCTTATCTCAATATGTTTAGTCCTAGAGTGCAAAATTGGATTCTTGGTGCATGCAACACAATCTTTCTTTCACCTCTCAGATCTACACCAGCATTTTCAAAAATTTTGGATAACAACAAAGCATAAGGAATCGGACCGTCTTCCTTCCGTCTTGCTTTCCATATGCAGTCATTCACAACTTCAATTTAAAATATCACAACATTCGGCAATAACAACACACATCTCACATCATTAGCATACCACTCATCAACCATACAACATAACAGCAACAAAACATACAATGCGTCGTCACGCATATAAGTTAGTATTGGTCGCTTGTAATCGGTATAGGTCGACCGGGCCCCTATACCGTGGTCGCTTTGTACACGTGTACCTCGACCTTGCCCACACACGGGACCACTAAGACTTAGAGGAGAACAGCAAGTTACCACTCCAAAGGTCAGCTTCCTAGGGAGGGTTTTCAACAAATTGGGCTCCAAGAGCACCACAGCCACTCAATCCACACAATGGGATGAGGAAGTTTCGAAAACAACTCCTCTAGTCTTAGTGATCAACAACTCAGCCTTTCGGCCTACATCACCTCAGCCTTTCGGCCTACAACACCTCAGCCTTTCGGCCTACAACACCTCAGCCTTTCGGCCTACAACACCTCAGCCTTTCGGCCTACAACACCTCAGCCTTTCGGCCTACAATACCTCAGCCTTACGGCCTACAACACCTAATATCAACACACAGTATAACACAACTGTACAGCTCAACATATCAACTCACAACAGTATTCAACTGAAACAGCTCAACAAAACCAACTTACGACAGCATACAACGGATACACCACAACATAACAACTTACAATAATTTACCACTGATACAACTCAACATCAACAAGCAGCGTTATCCACAAGTCATCAAATTATAATCAACAGCTTTTACTTGAACTCAACATAAACAACTTCTAACATCCATTAGTGAAGTCACATCTTCGCGCCTGGCGCACTCGTGGTTGCGCCCAGCGCAGTGCAACTAGAGAGCACCAGGGGGGCCAGCGCGCCCAGCGCAAGCACGCCCATGCCCGGCGGGACCCAGCCAGAGAGTTCAAGGCTCACTCGCGCCTGGCGCAATACCAATTGCGCCTAGTGCCCACAAGGCAAAGACTACCAAGGAGTCTCATGCCCAGCGCGACAAGGGCCGCGCTCAGCGCAGCACATCAAAATCAGCATCCAGTACAGCTAGGTAGTATACAACACGACTTACTACTCACAACTCAGCTCAGCACGACAATATACATATATATCCATTACAGCGTAGCATTTCATCATCAACAACATAAAACAACATGATCAACAATTTCACAATGTATGACATGTTCAATACATAGTACGACCCAATCCTCTTATTTACAACTCATCTATCTTGTCCAATTACCCACCCAAACCACACCAATCAACCTAAGTACTTAGAACAACTTTCAACCTAACCAAATAACTAAATGTGAAATGGCAACCTCCACAGAAATCAGCACATTAGGAGTTATACTACTCCTACCACACTCATCCTTATCTCATATGAAAGATAAAAAGATTTCCTACAACCCTCATGAAGACACAAAGTCCTAATTCTTTCATCCACCTTGTTAAAAATTCTAAAAACCGCAACAGCTATAACAAATGCTGGCGGATTGACCCCTCTCCACTAAAATAGCCATATCTGGAGTTCTAAAACTCTTTTTTGAGTGATTCCAACGTCATTGGAAAGCTAACATCCAAGGCTACAACTTTCAT